CTTCTTTGTTACCCTTCCATATAGTTATTGCTCAATGCTCACATATTTCACTTTCTGTTTGATTTTTGTTTTCTGTGGGAGCTCAATGGATAGATCTGAAACGGTATTAATCCAGCTTTTGCTATTGCAAAATTACTCAAGTTTCACTTTAGCTCTCTCTATTGCTATTATTTGCTTCAAGAAGAAGCAGCTCAAATCCAGATTAGACATTAGAGAACAGTATGATTTCACTTTTTTCCTATGAATCTATGATAAATGAATTAGAATTTTCTAAATTGCTGGCTTCATTGGGTTTAGTTTCACACTTACAAAGGTTATGATTTATGCTAAATCAATATCTATAGGAGTTCAAAATTTCCCGAAATGCAAATACCATACAGTTTAGTTTAAAAATTAACTTTTTAAGTGAGTTTTAAATAACTTTTGAAAAAATTTGTATGCGTAACTTTATATGGCCAAATAAATTTAGTAGTTTCAGGGTTAGCATTAACTGTGGTTATTCAGGTAAAACAAAAGACGTCCTTTAGTGGCCTAAAGCCTTTACTAGTTTATTGGACGGGGAACCACAGGGAGTTTATTAAATAAAGTTCAGAAGGTCATGGTCTTAAATGTTAAATCCATTTTTAACACTCTTCAGGGTGATGGCTATTGCCGCCCAAGAAAATGTTATGACCACCTAAATATGTCTTCTTTTTTTTCTTTAACAGTTATTTACCATATTTAAATATTACAATTTGTTAATTGATTTTAGTTTATTAATTAATAAATATCAGTTATTCTCTTAATTATCAATAAATAACTACTATTATCAATTATTTTTAATAGTTAAATTAAATAGAATCAACATTTTTAATATAAATATTGAAAAAGTGACTAGTCCTAACACTTTTACGGGTGACAATAACCACAACCTCTATCAAGATAATAAGTTATTTTTTACTCCCTGTTTATGGTTAAAAAAACAAAAATACTATAGTTACTATGTTATACAATATTATAAATTTATAACATAATGTATCGTTATATAATTGATTCTTTTCATTTGGAGATTTACTCATAATTTTTATGTATTTACTCATTTAATATCATATTATACTCATTTAATGCTATGTCATAATTGTAAACTTATAATCCTAAGCGGCATTGTAACTACAACATTATTGTAAAAAAGAAAAAAAAAAAGATTTGTGTAACTTGTAAGAATGCATTTTTTTTTTTTTGGTTTCCCGCCCGGTATCCGGAACTTCGCCCTGACTACTCCGAACTCGATCAGCTGTGGTGCACCAAAATGGTGGGTGGGTCTCCCAACGAAGGCTGCTGCGTACAGAAGGTTTTGAACTTGTAAGAATGCATTAACTACACATTTTCTCCATTAATTCATATATAAAAACAAAAGAAATTTTTTATCTTGTACCCTTAAGATAGAGGATAAAGGTGCAATAAATGTATCTTTTATAATTAATGTATATAAAAAATGATAAAAGTTAATTTAAATTTAATTAAGTGACTAATTAAAATTACTTATATAACAATAACACTAAAATAGAAGTTAACTTTTATTATTTTTTTATGTAAAATAATTGTAAAAATGTGCATTAATTGCACCTTACCCTGTGCCATTAGAGCATAAACTAGACAAACCCAAAACACGAAAACTTAATTTTATTTTCAGCATCAATAATACATATATAATTTTAATTAAATAATTGATAAAATTAAAATCACATTTATCTTTTTTATAACAATTAATGGGAAAAGAATATAATTAATGCAGCTTTAAGTATAATGTATGCACACTGGTTAGAAAACCCAAAAAAAAAATTTACAAATCTATGATTCCACAATCTGCCTTTGTCAGGTAAGAACAAAGAAAAAAATTTATGAGATGACGGAGTCCCCACCATACTGTAGCAGTTTTCTTGGCTTTATCCTGTACATAGTTGTAATCTTCATTTTCCTAGGAGGTACAGTTTGTCCTGGGATTTCTGACTATATCAAGGCTAACTCTCCTTCCTATGTGCTTGGTTTGAATTAAACCAGTCTACATAGCCGCCTAAGGTTACTATTAGGTTTCACATATTTAATGTTTCCAACATTGTCTTAAATTGTTGCACTTCCATCACCAAGAAATCAGAAATTGCAAGAGACAAAAGGGTTACCACCATAATCAGCTCTAATCTTTTGAGTACCAACTCTCCTATTTTCACCCTCTTAATTAATCACTCCCTTTGATATGGAAGGATTTGATAAATGAATCATGCTTTGCAGGACATTGAATCACGGATGAAACTAAAAGATTACCAGCTATGGATATCATTGAAATTAGGGAGCACATGTCAGTAAATTTTCTTTCCAGGACACTGTTGATATCTCTATGCTTAATAGTTTCTTCCGTGGTGCTTGCTTTGATCTCTCAAATAAAGAGATCAAAGATGTGGAGCTTGTAGTTCTTCTGCTAGCTTCTGCTGAGAAGGTTATCAACCAACAATTTGACCACGCAAGCAGAATCCTTGAACTCTGTGATTTCTTGAGTTCAAATAATGGAAGTTCAGTTCAGAGGGTGGTTCACTATTACACTAAAGCTCTTTAAGAGAAGATTGATCGAGAAACTGGAGCTAATACATCCAAGATAAGAGAAAGTGAAAAAACAGTCCTCTTACCATCAGATGAGAATGCATTGTGTTTGCAACCCACTTCAATTAAATGCTACGAAATGCTTCCTTTGCTCAAGTTAGTGTGTTTGCAGGAATTCAAGCAATTGTAGATTATGTGGCCTTTGCAAGAAAGGTTCATTATATCGACCTTGCAATTAGAACTGGGGGCAATGTACAGCGTTAATGCAAGCTCTTCCCTTTCGAAATGAAGTCCCATTGGAACTTCTTAAAGTGACTGCATTAGGGACAAAAGAAGAAAACTTAATTGAGGAGACAGGTAAAACGCTAGCCTGTTTTGCTCAGTCCTTAAATATACCCTTCTCATTCAAAACCGCAATGGTGACACACATGAAAGATATCAATGAAGACATGTTTGAGATAGAAGATGGTGAAGTTGTAGCCATCTACTCTTATTTGGTTCTATGTCATTTGGTAGGACAACCTGATTGCTTGGAAGCTGTAATAAGAGTTCTTAAGAAATAAATCCATGTGTTTTGGTGGTAACGGAACGTGAGGCAAATCATAGTTAACCCATTTTCGTAGAACGGTTTTTGGAAGCATTATCTTCACCTGGTGTTCTTTTCAATTCCTTTGAAGATAGTATGGATCGGAGTGATCAAAACAGGTTTGCTATTAAAGCAACATACTTTGCACGACGTATAAAAGATGTTGTTGCAGAGGAGGATGACAAAAGGATTTACTGGCACATGAGGATAAATGAGTGGAGAAAATTTTTTACTAAGTTTGGACTAGTTGAAACAGAGCTAGGGTCATCATCTTTGTATCAGGCAGAGCTGGTTGCCAAAGAGCTTGCATCTGGCAATTGTTGCACATGCTACAGGAATGGGGAATTCCTAATTATTAACTGGAAAGGAGCACCAATTTTTCTCTTTCTGCTTGGAAATTCAAAGAACAAAAAGCTCTAAGGCAGAGTGGCAACGGAACACGGAAGTCTCGGAGGAAGTAGAGCCTGTAACTATTTCATTGTGTTATCCCATTATTTGCAATTAGTTAGAAAAAAAAGGTCCTTATTTGCATCGAGTCT